TAATTTTATTTAAAATTCGGCCGATAAAATTAATAATTATAATAGCACGTTAAATTTAAATTAATAAATAAAAAATCGATTTAATTATTTTTTAAAATTTAAAAAAAATAAAAAAAAATAAAAAAAAATAAACGAAGAAAAGAGCTATTTATTTCGATTTACGAAGAAAGCTACATGTCACGATCACGAGATCGTTGGGCCATTGGCTTAGCATTCGCAAGCCCTAGATCACGTGTTAAATCCCTTAGGGCCCGGAACGGGCCCTAAGGAGTCCAGGGGGATCCTAGGGGATCTAGTCGAGGCATATATACTAGGCCCGGGGCCTCGTTAGATAGGAGCTGCGTGCTTAATTTGATTACCATTCTGGACTTTGTTACAAATTGCCTTATCCTCACTTCATTCACTATACCAACCCACGTGACCTTTCAAGGGAAAAGCAGAGACGTGACACTTTTGAGCACCCGGTCTTAAAGCAGTCCACTCTATCTGTGTCACCTGGACTCTCCTGGCAGTCTGTCTGCCCAGAAGCAAGCAAACTAACTAACGAACGCCTGTCTCCACGACCCGATATACTCCTTCCCCGCTGTATCCCCAACACCAGAAAAGGCGGTCGCAGTGATGGCAGAAACAGTGGCGTGTAGTGCGCTTGTGGTCTTGCAGTGCATCTAAAGTGCGGAAGCAACGGGAGCAGTCATCGCAGGAGGCCATGATGAGTAGTTGGAGAGCTTCAAGTGCGATGTTGCGTTGTTTACGTCGTTATCTCTGCGTAGTTTTCGAGAAAGAGGGGCGTTTCGATTCCCCGCAATGCTTTTGTTTTCTACTCCATAAGCTCCAGGTCCTTACTTGGGTGGCTAGTCTCCTGGTGTGTCCACCTACAATAGTACAGTAGAGAACAGTCGCCCAGTGAGTGACTGGTCTCCATTTGGCGACTGTTCTCCACATGAGTCCCCATGGGCAACTGGTCTCCCCGTGTGTGACTGGTCGCCCAGGTAAGACCAGTCGTCAAAAGGAGACCAGTCACACATGGGGCTGCACCTGGTCTTCGCCTGAGTGATTGGCCCCAATCCAGCTAGCCCGTCGTTTTGTGATCTAAATAAGGAGTCGACTATGCATCCCAGAGGGGGCCACATCCGGCACCCTCCTGATCCGGGGGTTGACTTCGGCTCCCTCACATTACCTGAACGTTATTATTAGCCTATAAAAAGAGGTTAGCCTTAGGAAGGCACCATAAAGCCAAACTCCTGTAGGTGTTAAAAGATGGGCACGAGACATTCAAGGGAGTGATGGATAGGGGAGGTTTTGAAGTTCTGGAGGGAAGCATAAAGAAAGAGAAGATAGGCAACAATCAAAATAGAGTAGCAAATTCATGATAACTCCTACAAATATGTCGGCTATCTTCTCATACGGTATAGATTTTTCGTCTATACTCAACTCGCTCCAGCTAGCTGTATTCAGAGAACCTAGGGAATAGTGTATAACAACGGACCAAAAGCGTGATTGGTCCTCGCGACAATATCTTCAATTCGAGGAACTCCCCGCGATATGCGTGACAAAGCTAAGCCTACGTACTAACTAACTTCGACCAAGGCACGAACGAGCTCCGGATTATAGCGTGGAGTTGTACTAAAGCGAATACTTTCACTCAACCAAGGTCAATCCTCCCTTAGTAAGGCATTTATCCTAATCATCGTAAACAAAAACCTTTGAAACTCAAGCAATCTCCGAAGTCAAATACCATTCAAATGTTCAGCTCCCAAGTTGCTTCTTGGATCTCTTCGTTCGAGTCGTCTCCTCTCGCCTCGACTTCGATATCCCTTGGGGCTTCGTGCTCATAAGTGCTACAAGCTTCTGAGATGATGCGCGGCTACGAGGGCTGGAAGAATTCGGTTTGCGCGTGTTCACGATCTCCGGATCCGCTGCGAGGAGTGGGTCCATCACCTCTCGAGGGACTTCCTTTGGAGCGCCCGGGTTGCATCGAATGCTCATATGCGTAAAAGCCCGGGTCAACCCATCATCAGAGATGTCGCTCTCGAGAGGGGCGTCCTGTACATTGAATCTAACGCTGCTATTGATGTATGACTTGTTAAAAGTCCTAGCCGGGATCGTATCTCATAATCTAATCGCGCACGGCTTCTAAGGCAACACCTAAGACAGCTATTAGGCCAAAGGAATAGATAATGTGATACAAGATATATACCGTTAACTGCATTTGCCGTGCCTCGGCGGAAGCAATAGCTAATCAGCTTGTCTTCCAGACCAGTATCTTTGCCCAGACGGCCCAGGTAGAAGGCATAAGTCGAGTAAGTCATGGCTTCGGTCTTCGACTTCACCTAGCCGTTAACAGTCCAAACAAACTTCCGAAAGATCGGCCGCTTAAACCATTCCGGCTTCCAATAAACCTTCACCGCCGTTACATTCTAACCCCGCAAGTCCGTGGTGAGGAAAGCTCGGCGGACGTGTAGCCATCGACGAGGATCGCGTCGTCACGGATCACACGAGTCAAAATGTGGGAGATCGGGCAGAAAATAGAGAAAGGGTTTTCCCTAAAAAGGCTAAGAAAAGGAAAGTCGTGCTATAGATAAGTTAGTCAAGATTCGAAACGTCGTGAAAGCAACGTACAGTCTGGGCTTGTTATCCGTAAGCTCGTACCAGCATGTGGACACGCACTAGCATATGAGCCCAGTGATTAAAAGGCTGTCATCCTGTGGAATGTCATAGTCAACGGATTAATAGGGAGCAAGTCCAATCCGGGCCCTTCCCATGCATGTCGCGGAAATACCTCACGACGACGTAGATGACGCGTCGAGAGCTTGGTGAGTTTCCCTGCTTGCTGCAGCACCTTTCATGCTTTTTCAGAGCACTACTTGAAATCTGCTGAATATCTGCCGACTGGATTGTGCCAGCACGTTTAGCGTATTCCGGTTTTGCGAGGGCAGTGCGAGAAGCCTACATGAGTCCTCTGATTTCTCCCCTTTCTGCTATCTTTCTATAGTCCAGTTTCTACAGCAAGCAGAGAATTTCTTGAATACTTTCAATTGTTTCCATGCGCTCAAGATGGCCACTGTTGCCTTCAAATCGTATACTTATGTGCCAACTGCTCCGCGTTTTAAGAGCGCAATAAGCCGTCGCAAACCTGCCTCGAAGCCAATCAGCATCTTCGACAAACTCCAGCGAATGAAGCCGAGTAGTGCAGGACTTAGCACGCCGCCATCAGCAACAGCAGCAGACGATTGTGGGAATGGCGGGCTTGGAATCCGAGGTAAGTTCTAAGATCGAGATGTTTGGGCTAGTAGCGATAGTAATTAACCTTGGATACTTGAGAGTAGAGAACGGTATAGTCACCAACAACAACGACAACGACGACAACTGCGACTTTCCTTCCATCGAATAACTACTATATATTACGTTATAGAAAGAGAACTTTGCAACGGAGGACTAGTGTCCGAATAACATAGTCTTCGAAGTTAGGGATAGAACTATAAACGAGAGAGGCGGCTTTCTTAATAATAACGGGTTAGCACTAGGCGATAACCCAAGTGGTAGTCTAGGTGAGTACGCTCCCTATCTTCTATCGTAGAAACAGATGATTAGGTTTTCTAATATAGTATAAGAGATCCAATTGTGTTGCTGGGCGATGGTGACTCAAGTGCCTCTAAAGCCGAAGTCGACGACAATAGTCTTCGTGCTAAAAGTGCGGCGGCAATTGAGGACCTTTTCAATAGCCCAGAGACTGTTATCGATTTAATGGCTCCGGCACCTCCTAAGTCCGATATGTAGCACGATATTAATAACTTACTCGAAACGACAAAGCATTTGTAGCGCTTTGAATCACAACCTTCGACGTCCAATTCTATACATTCTCATACTTGCTCCTCTTCCCGTGCCTCGAGCGAGCCATTGCACGACTACACTAGTGCGGCCGGCCAATGTACGGTCCGCGCCAGATCCGAGGCCAAGCTACCCTATCTTGCTTGTTGCCATGAGTCCTCACTTTGCGACAGAGTGTCACCAAAGAACTAGCCCATTCATGAGAATCATCTTTGTATTAGTAGAAGCTTAGCAGACGAATACGAGCTGGAGGTGCTTGGCTCTACACTCGATATCGATCCCGTTGATAAGAGGAAGAGACAGCAGGAGGAGTTGGAGCAGAAAAAGGACGAAGCCCAGAGTGAGGACAATGGATTGCAGCGGGATGTGAATGATCTGGCAGCAGTGGTGACGACCGAGAGAGTCGATGATACCCATTCATCCGACAAAGGTGGAAGCCCAAGGCTAGCCAAGCGACAGAAGCTTTTACCCTCCTACGATCCCTTGCCAAAGTTAAGTCATAATAAGGCGAAGGGTCGCAATGACGGTAACAGCGACGACGAGCTTAATAATAATAAAACCAGTTTGGAGGAAAATAGTAAAGAACTACGCTCTATGAAGCGAAAACAATTATTCTCACTTCACGACAGCCCAATGCAAAAAAAGCGTAAGCACCATCTCCAATAAAAGTCTTCCCACTAACATAGACCACATTTAAAGCCCCATCGACGCTCTCCCAAGCCTCGCACCCCCTTTAATCAGGCTTCGAGAGTCACCGCAATATCCAGTGCCGAGGGTCGATTGCCTTCGCCAGCGCCTTTTGCACTACATGCCACGAATATAGACATCTCGCCCGACTATTGCAACTTTGACCGATCGTCCAAAAGCGCCCTACCAACGCTAACTAAGGTTACGTTCCGTCCACTCTCCCCGCACTACTGCTTCTTCACAGCAGTAATCCGGGATAATTATCACAAGCAAAATATTTCTTTCAACCAAGTTACTCGACTCATTAAAAGCATCGGCCATGTGGGGAAGATCGACGACTTTACCATCAAGCCGATAAAGCAACAACATTCGTTCCTCTTAACTAAATTCAGCCGGCACACTTCATCTCGACTCTCTAGTGGCACGGTTCTATTAAGTACTGCGGACGCAAACTTGTCTTCGACGACGCGCCATCAACCGGACTCCAGCATGGCAGATTCGTTGATGCTAGAGCTTTGCCATCGGAAGGAGGTGAGCTGTCAAGTAGTGATGACTAGAGTGGTTTCAGCGACAACGATTCTGATCTCAGCAGCGACGATGATGCGTATTCGAGCAAAAAAAAGCCGAATTCGAGCACAAGGATGAACATCCCATAGGAACCTATAAATGAGCAGCGCTTGCTGGCATACAAGAAAAAAAGCAAGCCTTAAGACTGGATCTTCAAAAAGTTTCCAGGCAGGACTCATCCCGCAATGCGCACGCGCTGGAACATGCTTCGGCCCAGAAGCCGGTAGGCTTCCTCCCGTAGGTAGATAGGCGGCAGCTCAAGCTCTCTTCCTACAGACTTTTAAGTACACAGTCACATAGGCCCAATTGCTCACGATGAAAAGATAGAAATGTGGTTCTTGTGGTCAAGTATAGAAAGTGCGACCCGCGCAAACCCAAATTTTCTCAAATCCCATAGACGATTTTACCAATAGCACCATTGGCCATTGTAATAAGCATACCACTTTTGCTGCTCATCAGACCAATCTCCTTGAACCCATTTCGCGCTATCCCACCATTCTGCATACCCGGTCTGCTCATTTGTCCTCCATGTGAGGTCGGTAGTGGTAGCGCCCTGAGCAGCAGAAGAACTGGAAGATTCACCACCGTCGTCTGGGAGCTGGACCTGGCCGTACTTTTTCTTCGAAAAGACGACAAGTCCGCTTGGATATGCGTGATATGAAGTAAGCCGGGTTCCGCTAGCGGTCTCGATAATGCCCGAAGCGTGCCAAGGGTCAACACTGCCATCTTTTTTTGGAGTTTCGTGAGGGTCCCCTCTTCACCATATTAGGATCAGCAAAAAAAAGAAGACGGAAGGTTGACAAACTCTACACGTGCCTTAACGGCCGCTTTTGCCAATGCAGGCACGTGGTCAACCGAGGATTCGACTTGACGTTCCACCCATTGAACATCTTGGGTAGTCCTCTTAACCCATTTCAAAGCCTTGCGGACTGCCCTGCCTGAGGTAAAGGATCGCATATTTCTTGCAAAGGTAGATTATAGTTCTAGATTGATTATTAGGTCTTAAAAGCTAGACCGGGGTTCGCCAGCAGGGACAAGAAACGTCCTCACCAATGAAGAGCACCTTAGGCTCTTTGGAGCGACTGAAAATCGTGAGGGTGGCGGTCTAATCGGATACTTGCAGGGGGATTCCTCCGGCGGGAGTTTGTGAGCAACAGGAAAGTCGATGAGAAGGGAGCACTTTCTGAGGCTTGACATGTAAGGCTGGAGTTGCTTTAACGGCGATGATTTGGTTTAAATACTCGTCAGCAGTATTTAAACCAAATCATCGCCGTTAAAGCAACTCCAGCCTTACATGTCAAGCCTCGGGCGTTCGGAGTGGAGCGCTGACTCTTTGTATGTTGGTTGTTGCCTCGTCGTGATGCATAAGGACAAAGAATTGGGAACCATTGATTTCGATGCCACATGACACAACTAGACTTTTAATGACCATGATTATTGGTAGATGCTAGGTTGCAGCTTTATAAGTGCTGGGTAATGCCAGTCCGACTCATGAGAGCGTGTAAAATATGATTGGAGTTGACAAGGCTTTCATGAATGCGGGCGGTTCTGTACGAGCCCTAGTTATCAGGCTACGAATTGGGGGCCAATATGGCATATGCGCTATTGGCTAGAATTAGCACATCCGCTCGCTGTTTACCTCAAAAAATGAGTACATCACGTGCTCCTTCGAAAAAGAGGTCCAACCAACACCTGATAGCTGCGATTTCCGCAAAGCTGTGCTGACCCATGGGAATCGCGTAAGACCAGAGAATCGAGATAGGTATCGTAGATAGCTGAGTGCGTTGGGGCTAGAGGCTTATTCACGCCTGCACCTATTGGATTGGGGTGAGACCCATCAGTTGACTTTGCGCCTGCTGAATAGCCAGTGTGATAGGTCGACGGTAGGAACAACTGGAAGTCAATATTCATGTACTTCATGGTAGTGTGGAAAGGTAGTCATCGAGATCACCAAGGTCACGAGCTAGCGACATGGACAATGCGCTAAGGATAAGCGCTATATCACATAACAGAATGGTGTTGATACTAATGTTAACGATACGAAAAGGGGTTTCTGGTAGTGTTCGTTACCCTGCCTTTACGTATTGCGCACTACTACAACGACTACACAAGACATAGAGACTCGGATTTAGGTGTATTAAGCAGCTTGAAAATCACTGTTTTTTGGCGAAATCAAGCCACGGATCCTCCTTCAATTCTTTCGCTGTCGCTCTATCTTCTGGGAGCCAGCACAGCATCTTTCTCATAAAATTTAGGAAAAGGATCTTGTCGTCATCTGTTACGCATTCTGGAACTGCATCTGAGAGATTCCGCTCGAAGGGTATTAAGTCATTGCGTACAAATTCGCCTAGAGTCTAATGATTAGCTATGGTTTAAACTTAGGTATGAATTCTACTTGAGCTTACCGTCGTCAGAGAAAAATGGCCCCCCAAAGAAGTCGCCAGCATTATTGCATAATTTACCTTCGTAGTTACGAGCCTCGGGGCTCCAACTCCAATGCCGCATATTTCTTTCGCGTTCGACCAGTGATTTTGGCACGGGCCCGAGTAAAGCGATCATTTCTGCCAGGTGATGCTGAGCGCTATACGAGTGGTTTTGGCGGTCCTGGCGGTCCTGAAACAGTTCTCGACCAGCAAGCAGATCCCAAACCTAAGAACAGGAAAATTAGCTCTCTTATTCGAGGGGCGGTTGAGAACAAGCAGTCATAATATATACCATTATACCAAAATTCCAGATATCAGCGCTATACGACCATCCCGTGCCAAGTAGGACCTCTGGAGCATGGCAATGATCCGGTTGAATAGGGCTAATGCGTGGTCCTGGCTGATCTCCTCGTTCTGCCAGACCGAAATCTGTAATTTTCGGGGACATCTTCTTTAGCGCAGGCTTGCCGTCAAAATCTCCAAAATCATTATGGCAGAGATACACTGCCCAGCCATCTATGAGCTTCCGAGCCATTGGATTCTCAACCTGGCCTTGGACAAAGCTTTCAATGACTGACTGATCCTCGAATGTAACTAGGATATTGTCCAACTTCAGATCTAGACAGTGACTCAGTACGTCTCAATAAACGAAGAAAACGCTTATGCTAACCCGTGTGTATGATGTGGCATTCTGAATGCAGATAATCGAGGCCCTCTAGCAAAATACGGAGATAAGCCTTAAAGACAGGTAGAAAAGGGTGAGTCACTTTGTCTGCGCCGAATCGCCGTCTGAATAACCATAGCGGTTCCCTCATGGGTTCGAAAACCAAGCAAAGGTGTGATCCGTTCGGCGAAACAACTTCGAAACTGTTAACAACAGTCCTGATGATACTACGTCCTCTGTGATGTGGGCTGGCGCCGGCAATGTGATTGGATATATCCAACTCGTGTCTAGCAGCTTCTTTGCTCGCATATCTACAATCGTTGATCTTGATGGCCACATAGCGATTCAACCGGCTGAAGTTGCGTTAGTACAATGTCTGAGTATTTAATTAGAGAGCTTAATTACCCGCAAATATCCTGCGCAAGCCAAACAGTCGAAGAAGTTCCCCAGCCAATCTTTGCCTTCAACTTATACCCGTGGTCTAATATATCTCCTGGATTAGGATGATAGAAGTTCTTCGGATCGTACCCAGGTATCGTTTCTTCGTCAACGGGAACATGTAAGGGAAGAGATTTAGGCGTTGCGCAGCTCTGCGATGCGACAGCTTGTCGCCGAGTAAAGCCGCAGCTGGCCAGAGTAATTAACTTGAAAGGCATACGTGTTCGTTTGTGAAGCGTGCGAAGGGAAATTTGTGGAATATTGCCAGTAGTCGGCCAGGAGATTCGAGAAGCTGCGGAGCTTAAGGATCGAAGCATGTCTTCCTCGACGAAACAGGATCAGCTCAGACTTTCCAAAGAGGCTCTTGATCGTCTCCGCAAGGGAAGTCCATCCAGAGAAGGGTTCGTTGTCGTTGGAGTCGAATGTATTAGCGCTAGAAGTTACTGATGGTTTCTAGGCTAGTCGACGGGGAAATGTTTATGCGACTCCGAAATATCGCTTCCGGAACCTTTTCGCTGCCACTTCTCTACAACCTGCTCTGGACATCTATCTACTTTCATCATGGGCAGCCATCCCTCAGACAGTATTGCATATGTTCGTCGTACAATGCATCGACATGCTGACGTCGTCGTCGTGGGGGCGGGCGTTTTCGGCACGGCTATGGCTATAACTCTCGCAAGACAGTCCCGTTCGGTTTTTCTCCTCGAGCGTTCCCTCAAAGAACCTGATCGAATTGTTGGGGAACTCCTACAACCCGGCGGCGTTAGAGCACTGGAAAAACTCGGGCTTCAACAATGCCTTGACGAGATCGATGCTATTCCGGTCAAAGGCTACGAAGTTCTCTATCACAGTCGATCTGTTTCCATTCCATATCCTACCGACCACTCTGCAGATCCTGGGAGGGCAAGTAAGAGGTGAGAAGGGCGGTCATTCCATCACGGACGATTTATTCAAAGACTGCGCGCCGCTGCTGCAGCGGAACCGAATATTACAATTGTCGAAACGGAGGTGGACGGAATCATCAAGGCGGAACAATCGAGTCAGGTTTTGGGCGTCAAGAGCGTGACGAATAGTGCTCGAGACTACTTTTTTGCCTCGCTGACTATTGTTGCCGATGGGTATAAGAGCAAGTTCCGTGCAGAGAGTGCTTCTCGGAAACCGGTTTCCAAGTCGAAGTTTTGGGCCCTCGAGCTACGAGGTGTTACGCTTCCCTCCCCTTGTTTCGGGCATGTCATCCTCGGCAACTTTTCGCCCGTACTGCTCTATCGGCACACACGAGACACGAGCGTTGATAAACGTGCCCGATGGCCTTCCTAGTGCTAAGCCTAGCGTTGGCGGTGTATCTCATTATATACGACAAGATCTAATGCTTTACCTCCCTGCCGAGATTCAATTATCATTCTCAAAGAGCCTGGATAATCAACGTCTAAGATGTATGCCCAACTCCTTCCTCCCAGCAACGGCCAACCGCGTTCCGGGCCTCAGTTGGTGACGCAATGAACATGCGCCATCCCCTTACGGGTGGTGGCATGACTATTGCACTCAACGACGTTGTCCTTTTGCAGGACCTGCTACATCCTTCTAAGGTTCTTGACCTCGAGGCGACCTCGCTCGTCTTGCGACAAATGAAAGTTTTCCACTAGCAAAAAAAGAATCTTACTTCCGTCATCAACATCTTGGCACAGGCGCTGTATGCGCTCTTCTCAGCAGAGGATCGTTATATGGAAGCTCTTCGTAAGGGCTGTTTCGAATATTTCAACCGTGGCGGAGCTTGTATAGATGGCCCAGCAAGACTTCTTGCCGGCATTGTCCCCAAGCCGATAATACTCATATACCATTTTTTTTCTGTTGCTGTATTCTCAATATGGGTCTTTCTTTCATCTCAACCAGGATGGAGGTTACCATTAACTTTGTTAGAGTGTGGGATTATTTTGTTCAAGGCGTGTCAGGTATTGTTTCCTTGTATTGCTGCAGAATTGCTCACATGAGAACCGGTCGCGTAAGCAATGTGGTAATTTGAAGATCTCCGCTCATCATGTATACTTCAATAGAACATAGTTATCTCTCAATGGCGAATGGTTGAATCAAGTTTCCCAGCATTGGGCTGGATCTGGAATCTGTTGTATAGTATCAAATCCTGTTCTATCTCTCGATCATATTCCTAGCGTATACCGAGATTCTCCAGATCTTTCTTTTTCTTGGGGTTCGCAGTCTGGCCGCGACTCACAGAAACGTTGGTTCTTCGCAGCGTCGGTAGCTGCTGAACGAGCTTTGTCGAGAATTTTGTTTATGGCGACGGTGTCTTAGTGAATGCTTCTGGCTCCCCGAGGAATGGTAGTGGATGACGTGGAAGTAGAAACCCTTCGATATGGTACGGGCTCTCATGGGCTGGCAAGATCGCGGCACGAGCCGTTCGTTCACTAGCTCGCCCTTTCCGTAGGCAAGAAGTTGCTCAGATTCAATAGCGTAGCTCTTGGAGGGCAACCTCTTGTCGATTAAGGAAGCAGATCTCGTTATCTCCGCTGAACCGACGGCCTACAGTTATAAATGTTGGCTTTTTTGGGCGGTTAAGCTGGCTTCGTTGACCATCATGATATTTATGGTGTGGGGCGGGAGGGAATTGATAATGCTCGGACCGTGGATACCATTAGAGAAGAGTTTACTAAGCATGGTGTATTGATTATACAGTTTCTGAAATTGTAACGATCTCGTGTATCGATACAAATAAGTTTGAAGTGAAGGGAAACTGTTCACGCTCTTACTATGCATCCGCTACCTCTTGTATCCTTCAAACACGAACAACCTTTACCCCGGCCTTTCGACCCCGCCTCCGAGGCTTCCCCCCTTGCTTCGTGAAGAAGTTCTCCTTCAGTGACTGCAGTGTGTGGCCTGGGAAATGCTGTCCTATCTCTGCCCAGGTCTTGTCGTCGTGGACCATCTTAGCCAACAGACTCTCTTGATTCTTGGTCGGTTCCTTGCCCGGCTTGCGAGAAGTGACAGCCTGGCGAGAGACTGCAGCCTCCACTGACAATTCCCTAGAGCTAGTGCTTAAAACTTCTGAATGAAGTGAGAGGCTCAAGTGCTCAGGGACATGTGACAACGAAAACTTGAGATTGGATGTGATCTGATTGCCAATCGTAACGCGCTTCAGGAAACCTTGGAAGGGCCATTCCTGATACTCCGCGGCTGATGCCGACTTCTGCGTATCTGAGGGACTGTGAGAGCTTGGTGGGGTGAAGTGGTGGTCGTTATTTATGGACGTGGGCGGGTGAGCAAGATTAGTCTGGGACTGCGCATTGCCGATCTCAAATTGCGTGGTTGAGGATGGCGTCGCGCTGTGAGCCTGTGCCAGGGAATGCGGCTTTGGTGAGCTCTGCTCAAGGGGTGGCGTTGGAGGCATATCAGGCGGCGCTGGGGACAGTCTCCGCCGCGTCGTAGGTCGTGGGTTCTCGTCTTCCTCGTCGTCCTCGTCATCATTGTTGTTTGTGTCATGACCATAGTCGCTGCTCTCGGAATGGTGGATGCCGCTATTGATTTCTCTGTCCTGGTGCTGCCGCTTTTCTCCGCGTTGCTCGCGCTTCCCACTATCGTCACTATCGTCGGCCTCCTCCAGTTCCTGCTCCGGTACCTTGTGCCTTATCTCATCTGCTGCCATCTCCTCCTGTTCTTGCTCGCGCGGGCCTTCCTTCTCCTTCTCCTGACTGCAGAGACGCGAGCTGGCACGGAGCTCTTCTAACCAGCCTCGGTCACAATCCTGATCAATCGGAGGATGTGATTCAAACGGGAGACGATGTGAGGAGCTAGGAGAGGTACCTAATAACTCCTCTTGCTCTTCGAAAGCCAGTTGCATGTCCCTTTCGAGATCCGAGACGTTTTCCTCAACCTCCCCTCCACCGTCCTGTTCCAATGTCATAATCTGGACCGCTGACTCTTCCGATGCACTTGGCGTAGTTCCACTGTCGCCATGTGGATTGGCTTGGCCCTGGAATACCCCAAGCGATTGGCGGCGAGAGGGAGGCTGGGTTTGGGCGGGCGTAGATGCCAAACCTTCATGGTCCAGCGAAGCAAGTGAATGCAGGTCCTCGTAAACGAAGCAGCCTTCCTCGACATCCCACCATGGTTCGCGGTTTTACCGATCAGCGCGCTGGCTCAGCTCGAAGGCGGGAACAGTGCCAGCGTTGACGGAGGTGGAAGTGGCTTCGGAGTCGGCTGTGGTCTGGAGTATCGCCCTCGTCCTCCTCAAGAATCACCGGCCTGTCTGGAAGTTGTTAGAATTCTGCTTGCTATAGCAATAAAGCGCTGATGCGCATACCTCGAGTGCCCTGGCATCCTGCTCCGCAATCTTCTTTCGCAAGAGCGGATCCAGGAGCTCTTCGATCGATGGCAAGCTATCATCTGTATCATCGTTGGAGTTGGCCGGGTCGTAGGTGCGGTCTGCGAGTTCTCACAGCAGATTAGCCAAGGTCCCTTCGAAAGACACTCTGTGGTCGTACCTTGAGCTTTGACTTCTTATCTTCTAGCTGGGCCTCCGACGGCAAGTCGCTTCCCAACTTCGACCCACCTCCAGAACCGCGTCATAACGAGGCAGAATGCCGATGCGATCGTGACAGCGACGACGAGCTCAACCACGTCCAATTTTAGCAGCCACCGAAGCCCTCACTCCACCAGTAGCACAAATTTCCACGCAAACATAGTAGGGCTAATTCCACAACCACATCTCGAAACCCGCCGGTTGCAGCAACTCGGCAACGAGGGCATAACTTTGTTGGCCGGTCTTGGACTTCCACCAGCCCTTTCGGCCGCTACCACTGGTGCCACAGCATTCATCTCTTGCTGCGGTCCCTCGTCTTCATCCCAACTATTGCCTTCGCCCTTCTCTTGCTCCCCCTCCTGCTGCTGCTCTTCCCTCGCCCCCCTATCAATGAGGAGAGTGTCGAGCGCATGGTCAACCAGCTCGTGTTCGTCTGCCACGCCTCGACCGGTATGAAGACGACCCTCTTGACTGAGCTGGGTCTCTGGCGACGCTCTGCAATGGCGTGGAGGAGGGGGGATTCGCAGGATAAAAATGGTGGGGGTTGTAGTCGGGGATATGCTCTTCCTCGATAGCAGGTTCTGGCGGAAAGATGGTAGATGTCTCGAGAGGTGCTGTCGGAGCAATTCGAAACGCTCTGTAGGCAGAATTTACCAGCGTTGTTGAGATAGGTCGCATGTTGAGGAGTTCCAGACTTCTTTCTCAATGAGAATCAGCTGACACCTTGCAGCCTCAGGCTGCAACTATCACCTCAGCTGATTACGTTCACGAAATGACAAAAATAGTTATGGCCGCCGCTGCCTCCCAAAACTCCTAGCGCATTCATCGCCCACCACCCTCGTCCTGCCCGCACCTCTGACTCTTCCGTCTACCTCGGTCCATCAACCAGCGGCAATATAAACCCACTTCTTACCCCCCTCCCTTTCCAGTCAATATGGCCCCGCGTCAAGCAAAACGAAAACAATCGCAAGAACCTGAAGATACATCCAGTCTTGCTCCATCCGAGCCTCTTCGAAAGCAACGACGGACGTCTCCTACTGTTAAGGACACATCTGACCAAGGGGCAACGAGCGGCATCAGCGATAACAAAACCAATCCAATTGATTATTGGAGCGAAGAGGGACATTGGCCTAAGGAATATTTCAACCAGGACGATCAGACTAGGAAAGATTTCGAAAAATACAACGGGATACCCTGGGTAACAGAGATGGGGTTGAATCACCTACTTGCAAGGAGGAAGTCGTTGTCTTCTCTTCGTGGTAAACAATCGGAAGCTGGCTCTGTCACACCAAGTTCCACAACGCCTAGCGATCAAAAGCCGAGGGAAGCAAAAAGTGCCCCTTATACGCGTCCGAGCTACGCAACCGTCCTTGCGACCAAGGGTAGCTTTATGGACAAGTCCGACTTGGGCATCACGGATGCAAGTAAGAGCCTCTGCCGAAATTTACTGGAGAAAAAGCAGACGGTTCCTCAAGACTCCTTATTTCGCGATGATGTATTCGAGAAAGCTTGCCGAAAGATACAAGACAGGAACGAGGCAAGGGTAGTTCAAGATATCACTCGGTTGATCGTCCCTTCTGCGGAAACCCTAGCCACATATGGTGCCACACATCTCGATCCTTTAATTGAAAGTGTCAATGAAGGCTGGAATAGCGCCGAACCTTTCTATGGTCCTCGCCCACAGCTTGATTATTCTGTGGGTTTCGGACGATCTGCATTCACGGACGATTAGCTGGAAAAGCTCCAGCCTTTCGTCGGCGAGGTTCCAGATACTTTTACGTCCCATTTCATGGCCACTTGGCAGATGTACTTCCCGTTCCTGACTTGTGAGGTTAAGTGCGGTGCCGCGGCACTTGATGTTGCAGACCGACAGAATGCTCACAGCATGACCCTGGCGGTGAGGGGTGTTGTTGAACTCTTTAGGATGGTGAAGCGCGAAAAGGAACTCCATCTGCAAATCCTCGCCTTCTCAATTTCACATGATCACGGGACAGTAAGGATCTACGGCCATTATCCTGTAGTCGATGGAAACAAGACCACCTTCTACCGCCATCCTATCCGTAAATTCGACTTTACGGAACTGGATGGCAAAGAAAAATGGACGGCATACAAATTCACCAAGAATGTTTACGACATATGGATGCCGACTCACCTGAAAAGAATCTGTTCAGTTATCGATGCGTTGCCCGATTTTGAGGTCTCGCAGCAATCTGAGTCAGGGGAATCCGGACTTTCACAGGTGTTAGAAAGCCACAATCTCTCAGAGCTTTCAAATCGAGATGGCTCATCTCTGCGGGAGGACGCTGACAGTCAATTAAGCCGTGTTGGAGACGCTACCCCAGAGACTTCCGTGTCTCAGAGGATTGAGGAGGGAGCATTTAAAAAACCAAAAAAAAGGGGTCGGCCTAAATTACATTAGCGAATGGTCTCACCGACCACAAGTTAGTATTCGAGGCGTATTGTTCGCTGCAAAGTGTTTTGGAAAGCTGTATAATACAAACCATCGAAGCAAATGACCATGCGAGTTACTGAATAATCTATTTGATGTCACACTTACAGTGAAAGAAAAGCCTGTTGACTTTGGTGATATGTCCGTCCGCCCAAGTCTTAAGGATATATGGTGCCAAACATCTCAAGCCTTTGAATGAAAGTGTCAATGAAGGGTGGAATAGTGCTATACTTTATTACAGTCCTCGTCCACAACCTAATTATTTTGTAGGGTTTGGACGATCTATATTTACGAATAATCAACTCAAAAAGCTTACGCCTTTCGTTAGCGAAATTACAAATAGTTTTATGTCCTATTTCATGGCCACCTGGCAAATGTACCTCCCGTTCTTGACGTGCGAAGTAAAGTGCGCCGCCGCGGCTCTCGATGTCGTCGATCAACAGAATATTTATAATATGACACTTGCAGTAAGAAGTACTATCGAACTTTTTAGGCTAGTAAAGCGCGAAAATAAACTTTATTGGGAAATCCTCGCCTTCTCAATCTCGCACGATCACCGAACAGTGAGAATCTACGGCCACTACCTTGTAATTGACGGGGAAAAGACTATTTTTTACCGCCACTCGATTAAGGAGTTTAGCTTCACGAGCGAAGAAGGCAAAGACAAGTGGACCTCATACAAATTCACCAAAAACGTCTACGATATATGGATGCCGACTTACTTGAAACGAATCTGTTCCGTTATCGATATGTTGCCATCCGATATAAATTTTGAGGTCTCACAACAATCTGAGCCAGGCGAATCCGGACTTTCACAGGGGTTGGAAAGCCACCATCTCTCTAACGATGCCGCGTCTCTATTGGAGGAAGCCGACAGTCAATCTGGAGACGTTACTCCAGGTACTTCCATGTCTCAGAGGATTGAGGGGGGAGCATTTAAACAGCCGAGGAAAAGGCCGTTGAATGACATCAGTGAATAGCTTCGCCGGTCACAAATCAGTATTTGAGGCGTATTGTTTGCTACAGAGGGTTTTGGGAAGGCTATAAATAGAATAAAACTATCAAAGCAAATGACCATTCGAGTAAAAGAAAAGTCTGTTGACCTTGGTGATCACCAATCTCATATCTGCTTCCGAGTTTCTTTTGTGGTGTTCCGCCTAATGCAACTTCCTCTAATCTCATGTTACCCTCTATTTGAAGCCGCTTCTCGTCCGTATTACTGCCGCATTTGAGTTTGAAGTTGTGTTACGAATCCATTCATCAAATTCCTTCGTACCAGCCAGTCCAGATCTGAGCCTCCACATATTTGTGGCCTCAAGCAACGCATGAAAACCAACCGCCCCTGAATCGCTCACAGTGTGCCTGATCACTGACCTCAACCATAAATTGTTGTTTTCAACAATGTTGTAGCACAATGTTGATCGCGAAATGCCTTTGCGAATGGCGGCCGCTTTTTTTTAACCCCGCGATTTCAGGCTCCAAACCACAAACTCACGTTAATGAGTGGTGGTATTGGACCACTTCTTGGCGAGAGACCGAATAGTTGCTTTAAGCATAGGAATTAGTCGAGTCGTAGAACCTTTATAAATTATTAATATAAGATCGAGAATTCAACTTCCGCATGATTTTTAGGATGGTTTCTTGCGTGTTACTGCCAGGCGAGCGAGAGCAGGCGTTGGCGGCGGCGTATGGGCATAATGGAATGGAATGAATGGAATGGAAGCAAGGCATGGGGCAGCCCGCATCTTGGGTTCGGCTGGCATCATGGCATGTACATGGTGTTGGGAAGGACGTGGAGACAGGCGTTCGTTCGCTAGCTTGCTTGCTTCTGGGCAGACAGACTGCTAGGAGAGTCCAGTCGCCACAGATAGATACATAGACAGAGTGACTGGCTCCAATCAACAATCGTTCAGAGTCCAGGTGCCACAGATAGATACATAGACAGAGTGACTGACTCCCATCAACCAATCGTTCCTTCCTATGGATTCATTTATTTAAGCTTGCTTACTTGCTTTTGCGCAGACAGACTGCTAGGAGAGTCCAAGTGACACAGATAGCGTGAGAGTCTAGGTGCCACAGATAGACACATAGATAGAGTGACTGACTCCAATCAATCATTCATTTATTCCTTCATTCATTCATTCCTTCATTCATTCATTCCTTCATTTATTCCTTTATTCCTTCATTCCTTCATTCATTCACTGGCATCATGGCATGTACATGGTGTTGGGATACAGCGGGGAAGGACGTGGAGACAGGCGTTCGTTCGTTAGCTTGCTTGCTTCTGCGCAGACAGACTGCCTGCCAGGAGAGTCCAGGTGCCACAGATAGATCCATAGACAAGCACTTACCAAATTTTATTCTTCTTGATAAGAAACCTTCCTCATCTCCCCGAGTCGTTGTCTCGCCGCTGCCAAGTTGTTCTCCAGCTGCAGAATCTCAACCTGTTGTTCCATCTCTCTAACCTTGAACTCATGAGCACCCAGCTTTGCATAATCAACCTTGTCTTCCTCGGAGTCCCGGTCTTTGATCATGCTTTGAACCTGTCTGACCAGTCCTCTACAGGCGGCGCCTACCGCCTTGCTTGCCTGTTCTAACGACTCTTGACTCTTGCTCATAAAGCCTGCCTTGACTCTGCTGGCAGCTACGAGCTGTGCTGTGGACGCAGCAACATCATTTGACGCAACGATCAATTGTTCGGGGCTGTTTCGACCGGACAGAACTCCATCCGCAGTCTCGATCAAAGTGTTGGTCGAGGATGCTACAGCCTTGGCTGCGGAGATCAGACCCTCGGTCCAGCGATTGTTCTTCTTGTAGAAGTTGCTTTTCGACGACGTTCCTTTGCCAGCCTGGACAATCTCTTGCTGTGTTACAGTTGCGGCCTTGATGAGTCTCGCAATAGCATTCGTTACAGCCATAGCAGCGTCAAGGATAGAGTCGTGAATGCGGAGTTCGTAGGTAGAGTATCCATCCTTGGGCTTCGACTTGAGCTTGGCCAGTCGCTCAGCAGCAGCGTTGATAGCATCAGCAGCCTTGTTTAATTCACTGTCAACAAGATCTCCAAGATCTCCTTTGTTAGCAGATAGTTTCCCACTATTCGGTGCAAAAGAATCGGCCAGCTTGCTAAGCTTCTGCAGATTCATCAAGACCTCGTTGTTACTGTTGATGACAACATCTGTCTTCTGCATGGGATCCATGCCATCAAGTCTGAAGCTCTGAAGGCCACGGAAGAACTTCACAGTCGATAGGGCCGACTGCCGTGCTCCATTCACGAGTTGGTCGGCCTTCTTGTCATCAGTAGCGAGTCTCGTGAGACCTTTGGTATTGCTCAAAACATCTGCAACCGAGCTGGCGAACACATTGATGGTGCGTATGATCTCTGCATGACTACTGTTGGGTCCATCTGCAATGAAGTTGTTGAAGGAAGTCGCAAATTCCATCGCACTTGATGAGGCCTTCTCAATCTGCGAGAGAACATATGAAGGGGTCGCATTTTGATTTCCAGCCTGCATGGAGGAATCAAGTTCGTACAGAGCATCATCAACACGTTGAACACCACTCTGAAGAACCGAATCGATGATATCGTTAATCTTGCCGATGTTTGCGAGTAACATGGCATCGATTTCCCCGTCCAAGGCCTGATCGGTTGCGCCCTTCGATAGTTCTAGTTCGTTGAGCCTGATGAGGGTGTCATCCAAACTTTGCTTGTACACCTCCAGCTCTTCCTCTTTTTCTCGTAATAAACGTTCTGCATCTGAGCCGCCTTCGCTGTACTTTGCATGAACATCCTCAAGGGCACGCGACTTCTTTCGCAAGGCTTCTTCGAGGTCGGCCATCTCCCTATTGTATTTGGAAAGCATAGACGAGAGCTCGTTCCCCTTGCTCCTCTCGAGATTGTCTGCCCGGTCGAGTGCCATTCTCAACTCCCTCTTGAGTTTCTCGACTTCTTCTCTATTGCCACCCGTGAGACGGTCCTTCTCGTGCAGAGCTCTGTCCCTCTCTCGAATCATATCAGCCAGCTCAAGGTTCTTGGTTTTGATTTCTCGCTCAAGCTTTTCTCGTTTGTCAATTGCTTCTTGAGCCGAGGCGGCCTTCAACTGCACGCTCTTGAACTTTTGCAACAGATCCAGATGCTCGTGACGCAATTGAGAATATAATTTCGCCAGAGCTTCGTACTTCGTCCGCCATGTATTGACCTGCTCCTGCAGAGCTCGAATCTGGTCATCCTTGCTGCCGATTTGTTGACCATAACTGTTCTGGAGTTGTGCAAGCTCGCCCTCCAGAGCCTTGATCTTCTGGTCGTATTGTTGGAGCATCAATTGGTCTCGAGCGTATTGTGCTCTAGCATCAAAGTTCTCTTGCTCCAACTGGGCCATACGTCCTTGAGTCTGCTGCTGGAATTGCTGAGCCAAAAGAGCTTCCTGGTCTCTTCGCTGTTGCTCGGCGAGTTGTCGTTGCTGCTCTTCGAAGTCACGTTGTGCTTGGAGCGCAGCTTGTTGCTGAGCGTAGAGTTGTTGTGCTTGTCGTTCCTCGAGAACCCGCTGTTGTTCCTCGTATTCCCTGTTTTGACGGGCTTGCTCGTTTTTCCAGAACTCGCCAATATCATCTGGCTCTTCGGGTTTCGGTGCTGGAGGTGGAGTGATTTGTCTCTCGATTTCTTGTCTCGGTCGCTCGGGCAGGCGCGGAGCAGCATCGTCTTCGGAGAGGAGGTTTGGCGGTTCTTGAGGAAGTTTGGGGACGGTAATCAAGCTGGTCAGGTATCGAAGATTCGAGCATTCGTAGTAAAACTTCACCAGGCGGTAATGCTGAGCATCGTATCTTCCTCTCAGCGGTTCCAATGCCTCATCGTCACCCGTCGCTATCGAAACGTTAGCGGCTTCTTCTCATGTCTGCCTGATATTGATGGTGACCTACTGGTATGCATAGCACGTAACATGCTCGTGATGAATTTGTAGATTCCATAGCTCTCCTGCACCAAGGGTACCAACGCTGAAATCCTGCACTCGTTATTGCCCCCACTGCGGAAGTGGGAGAAGATGAGCTTTTGGAATTGCTCGATCCTGTCCTGCAGCGCCATCAAGTCCGAGATGGTCTCATAACCCTCATTGGGATCATTGATTCCCTTCAAGCTGATGTACTCTTCGTACTCAAATGTTCCGTTGAAGTCCGGATGCTGGGCATGAAAAGACAGTTTGGCCAACAGGAAATTCACGTATTCCTTGATCAACGGTCCGTAGCCCCGCAGGCCTTCACCCGCCATTCCTCTGTTCAGACTATCGATCCAGTTCCGATTCGCCATTGCTTCTCGCAGCGTCGATGGGTGACCCTCTTGCAGAACTTTGTGCACCGTGATCAGAGCTTTGAAAGTTTGCACCTCATCCGCAAGAATGGGTTGCCTGTGTTGGGCACGGTAAACGTCAGCTGCGATCGGCTTCTCGGATGCATAGGAGAGAGAGTTCAGTAAGAGAGGAAGGATCTTGTAACAGGCTGAGGACGAGTTGGAGAACCACTTACACTTTCATTCCCGCCCAGAAGGCGCCCGAGGACCTGTGGTCCCATGTGTACACGATGCAGCTCCGCACATGTTTGCGTTTCGGGGCCGTCTCTTCGATGCTCGTTGCTTTTCGAATGTTGATGGCCAATTCAGCTTCAGACCTACCGGAGATAAGGAGTTAGTCGATGATGCTCAGCAGGCAGGCAGGCAGGCACGTTGGAGAGTGCGTGCGTGCGTGGGTGGTCAACAACTTACTTGGTATGGTCAATATGCCTGCCCGGCGCGTAGGAAAGGGCCATGTCGCGATCTGCACACGGGCGACGATATTCAAGGAGAAGGGCAAGAAAATCAGATGCGAAAGGAATGTGTAGAGGTCGTGAGGTGGAAGGTGGAAGGTGGAAGATTTTCAGTTCATGAAGACAATCTGCTGGCGTGGTCGGCGGCCTTGTCATCATCCGCGCTAGCGAGGCCAGCCAATCACACGCAAGGAGTAAGGAAGGATGCGAGGCATGAATGAATCCACAGGAAGGAATGATTGGTTGAATGACTGGTTGATTGGCAGTCAGGAACGATTGGTTGATTGGCAGCCAGGAACGATTGATGGATTGAAGTCAGTCACTCTATCTATATATCGATCTGTGGCAACTAGACTCTGAACGATTGATGGATTGAAGTTAGTCACTTTATCTATATATTTATTTGTGGCAACTAGACTCTAAACGATTAATGAATTAATTAATAGATTAATTAGCAGTTCACTTTATTTATGGCAACTAGACTAACTCTCCTAGCAGTTAGTCTGTTTACGCAAAAGCAAGCAAGTTGTTACAAGCAGTAAAAGAGATAGGCCCAGTAAGCGAGCTTACTGGAGATACTTCGGGGCAGGAAGGTCCCAGGTGCACGGGATCGATGATCACGTGATGGACCGCCAGGGCCGCAGGGACCGCGATGGTTTCATCGCGGCCCACGCGATCCCTTGGGATCCAAGAGCAGGAAGGTTCTATATAAGCAGATAAGATTTCCCATTGAATAGGAGCTTCGTGCTCAACTCAAATATAGTTTCTTAACACCAAGCTATTAGTAACTCTCTGTCAGGGCTTGCAGTCAATACACGTGATTGAGGCTACAGAGGCTTTCTTTGTACAAGAAGGTTCGATTGCCGTACAATGCCAGTATCTCTGCCAGTTTATATACATGCTATGGAGATTCTGGAAGTTTCTGTCACGTGAGATCGTCGCTGGAGCATTCCAAGACTACTCCACGGGTGTAACCCCTGACACTCTCTTGCATTACTCTTCAGAAGCCAATATCCTTTGATCCCCTACCACTCCCAACCAACAGTCCAGGCAGACCGTTACACAAGTAAACTAACTAATAAACGCTTGTCTCTACGACTAATTTACTCTTTCCTCGCTATATCCCTAACACTCCACTTTAGACGGCTTCGCAGCCTTACGTAGTCCCACGTCGATCACGAGCAC